CCCCCCCCCAGGTCCTGTATCAAGCCCTCCCTCAGCTTCGTGATAGGTTCGGAAGTTTCATCATGTTCTAGTCCCAGAACTAAACGTTCACTCAAACAAAAAACATTCACACAATGTTCAAGATGTAGAAAACAGGAGGGCCAGTTGCCTAAATTTACAATGATAAACACAGATCTGTTAGGTGGACCAGTGCCTTCCACAGGTTCAATCACAGCTTCTCTCCTTGGAGAGAATTATCAGAAAGTTGCTTGGTGGGTAGAGTCAGAATGAGGGGCCTGAGTTACAGGATTTAAGGGAACAACGGGATCGGGTTCTGATCTAACCACTTGCGCTCATCAGAGAGGGCAGCTTCTTGATTAGACACAATTGGGTACCTTTTCCCTTAGATGGCATTGCCCACTTCTCTTCTGTTTTTTGGTTTTCTTTGGGGGCTTTATTTTTTACCTCCTCCTTGTGACTGACATATTCCTCTTTCAGGTATAGTGTTACAGTCTGTCTTGCTCCATTTACCATATTTTTATTATTATTATTTTTTTCCAGCTCCCGGGCCCTCTCCATCTTCAAGCCAGCAACAGTGGGTTGATCTCTTTTCATGCTCTGAATGTCTCTGACCTCTTCTTTGGTCACATTTCTCAGATCTCTTTTTCTTTTCTTTTTTAAAATATGTTTTTATTCATTTCAGAGAGAGGGAGAGAGAGAGAAACATCAATGATGAGAGAGAGTCATTGAACAGCCGCCTCCTGCATGCCCCCTACTGGGGACCGAGCCCGCAACCAGGGCATGTGCCCTGACCTGTGGGGGAGAACCAAACCCTGACCTCCTGGTTCATGGTCAATGCTCAAACACCGAACCACCCTGGCCGGGCTCTCTTTCTTTTTTTAACATCACGATTAGAAAAATCTGATAGAAGCTCTCCATAATCATTTCCACAGAAAAACACCATACTTATAAAGCCATGAGAGTAATTTCGGGGGATTCGTGGATGTCTTTGAAGCTGTTTTATGCATCCTAGGTTAAAATCCCTGCCTTGAGTAGACCCTTGCCCATTTTTAGCTGATGCTAAAGTTTAAGTCCAACAGCGTAATCTTATCTTCCTGAAGGCCACGTCTTTAGGGTTACCTTCCAATCCTCCCCTCCCCGCATTCCTCCACTCTGAGCTGCCAGGTCTGCAGCTACAGCTGCAGGGTTGCTCTCCAGCTGTGAATACCGTTAACTCTTAGGTTCTTACCTTACCCCCCTTGGATCTGTGTCTTGCACCTCTCCTGGTATTGCAGTTATTACACACACCCCTTGTTCCCTCGCTCCTTTCACCCTGTCCGGCTTTGCCCGTGCCCCCACGCATAGGATATGACTCACATATCCATCACATTTGTCCCCTTTTCTGTCCCTCCTCATAACCATATCTATAGCCTCATCTCCCTCTCTTCTTCCTCTCTCTCCCTGTTTTTTTCCTACCAACACTTTTAGGACTTTACCCCTGCCTCCCCCCCCCATCCTTTTCTGTTTCTTCTTGTAGACATCTTACCTCCACCACCACCACCAGGGCATTGTCCTTCTTTAAAATATCCGCTTCTTACATGATTTTCAATACATATTTATATTTCCCACCCAGACCACTCCTCTGAGCTCCAGTCTTGCATATCCACCTTAATTACTATTTGCACTTGGATGTCACAAAAAACAGTACAAACTGAGTGGGTCCAAAATGAAACTAATGATTCTCTGCTACTGTCTCCCCCATCTCAAGAAACTGCACCCCATTTCACACAGTAACTCAAGCCAAAGGAAGTGTGTCATTGTTCTCTTTTCCTTCCCCTCAATGACATCAGCAAGTCTTGTTGGCTACTGTTTCCAAAATGTATTTTGAATCCAAAGCAGTCTCTTCATATCCCTTGCCATGACTCTTAGCTGAGGCCAGGATCATTTCTCACCTGGACTACGCAGCAGCCTCCCATCTGGCCTCCCTGCTTCCATGCTGGTCTTTCTCTAGTTCCTTCTTTCCACAGCAGCTACAGGTCCCTTTTAAAAACAGACTTCCTACTTAGTCACTAAATATATTTTTACTGAGTGCCCTCTATGTGCCATGACCTCAATAATGCTTACTGTTATAAAATAAATGAACTATACTATATAGTATATAGATAGTGCTAAGTGCTATAAAGAAAAAAAATAAAGGTGTGAAGGACAGGAGATTGTGTGTGTGTGGTTCCAATTTTAAATAGGGAGTCCAGGGAAGGTTTCACTGAGACTGAGTAGGTCACCTTTGAGCAAAGTACTTGAAAGAGGTGAGGGAATGAGCTCTGCAGAATATTCTAGTTGGAGGAAAGAAATGGCAAGTGCAAAGACCCGGAGGTAGAAGCATGCCTGGCTTTGGGGCTGAGCAGAACAGAATAAAAGCCAAGCTTTACTAAGATGGGTTTTGGAATAAATGGTTTATAAGATGGCTCAGTTCCCTTGCCATCCCTCCAAAACCCTCCTCCCCCTACCTCTCCAATCCCCTTTTCCAGCACTCTTCCCACCAGACTATATGCCATCCACACTGATCTGTCACTTTACCAGAAGTTGTTTCCTGTTTTTGCCTGTTGTTGCCTTGCTGGAAACACTCCCCAACCCTTATTCCCATATACAATTTGCAAGGCCAGATCCTTCTCATCCAGTAGGTTTAAGTTTCACCGAAGGCCATTTCAAACCACAGGACCTAAAATAGGTCTCCTCTTGTTATTTTTCTATTTCAGTTTCCTATTTGCTTCCTTCATGGCACTAATTACATCCTGCAATTGGAACTCATATATGTAAAAATTTATACATAAAACGCAATAGATTAATGGTATCTCATTGTCATTTAAATTTGCATTTAATCACTGGTGAAGATTAAGTATTTCCCCTAAATAATGGTTAGTACTTAGCATGATCTCTTTCCTATATTTTGCTCAATAAATGTTCACCTAAAGCCCTTATGTGTTAAGACTGAGAGCGGGCCTGGCCAGCAGAACCCCATCCTTGGGGACTTGTGGGGACAACTGACTTCTCCAAGTTTCCTGGAGGAGTCGGTGACTCACGGTGACTCTCTCTTGGCAGGCAATATTCCAAAACCCAAACCCATTTAGAGGAAAATGTCTGTTTCACTTCGCCACTATCAAGTGGTGGAAATGGGCAAGAAAGTCGCACCCGATACTCCCATTGTGCAGTTAAGCAATTCGCAATGGTCACCTGATTATGCATTACACGGTGGGGGCGGCGCCGAGCCCAGCCCCTCGCCGGGCCCTCCGCCTTTTCCGGGGGCTCTCGGCGCCCGAGGCAGGCCAGTGAGTGGTCTAACTGCCCCTCCAGACCTCCTGGGGGCCGGGAAGCAGCACCCGCGCCGGGCTGGCGAGCACAGAGCTCCCCGGGCCCTCGGGGTTTGCAAGGCTCCAGCCCGGCCGGTCGCCGGAGCCCTGCGGAGATTATAGATGATCTCGCGAGAGCTCGAGCAAGGCCCGGGCGCGAGCGGCGGCGGCGGCGGCGGCGGGATGTTGGTGAAGAACTCCAGACCGCGCCCCCTCTGGCGCAGCTGGGAGAGGCGCAGGCGGGAGTGGCCCCCGGCGCGCACGCGCAGGTGAACCCTGCGAGAGCGGGGACCTAAGGGCGGGGGGCGGGGCCTAGCGTTGCGCCGCAGGCACGTCGCTGCGCGTCCTCAGTATTTAATGTCTCTGTGTTCCAACGGCCTGGGCGAGCACGTGGGGGAGCGGCCACAGCACGGCTCCGTGGGGCCC